CGCCCGTTTGCAGAAACCACGCACAACCTGCCCCAGTGACGACAGAGGAAAGGATGGGAGGTGACAGTTCAGGCTTCTTTTGAAGTTCATCCCAAACATAGCATGAAAACATCCAAATCTTACTTCCCACAGCTGGCTGGCCATAGAGAGAGGCTTTACCAGGCAGGCTGTGCCTGAGAGAGATACCAGCACAGTGGTCAGCCCAGTTTGGAGACTGACGGGAGAACGCATGGGGAGTGCAAAAGGGTTGGGGTGATGATAGGTTAAGTCTAATCTTTATCATTCCAGGAAGCGGCTGCAAGAAATGCTTGAGGGTAATGATCTCTTAGGGGGAATGAGTGGTCTGTGTCCCAGGAAAACCAGCGAGGGATGGAGAAGGCTTAGAGAAATAGGGAGGGATGAGCCACTTCAGATATCAGCTTACAGTACAAAGCAGTGATCAAGGTCTGCAAGCTCCTAAAGCTCAAAGGATTTGGTTTAGTCCAGGAGCCAACTGACCAGTTCAGGTCTAGATCCAGGCTCTCCCCAACGAAGGAGTTGTTGCGATGTGGGTTTAGTTTAGGCCCATCTGACTCAAGACAAAACTAGAACTTTTCTGAAGTCTGATGGATGTTGCCTATTCATGCCTACCTCTAATTTTTGGCCCTCTGGGTGCTTTCCTGGTCTGGGAACAGATGTGTTGATATATGACACTGCATAGGCTCTCCCATTATACTTTCAACCTGACCAGACCCAGGAAGCAATGACAAATTTTCAAGAAAATCTGTTCTCAAGCACAGGTGGATCTGAATTTGTCAAAGAGGTTTGGAGAGCTTGGATTAGCTTTGTCTACCTCACCAAAAACAACCCCGATCCTGGGATTCTCCCATCACCCTGAAACAGCCTCCCCACCTGTAGAGGCCAGACACCTTGGGTGGGACGGGACTCCCTCAAAGTGCTCTTCTGAGCTCTCTTCTGCCTGGGTCTCAGCAGGATGGAGACCGCTCTGTAACTCTCTTCCCACTATGAACGGTCAGATCTACATCAGCCTGTAATTTTCCAACTCCCCAAGGGTCTCCTATATTTTGGTGCCATCATGTCCTCCGCCTCCATCAGTAACAGAGCCATCGCCTCTGAAACAAATAAGCCCAGAAAAGGAAAAACCGACCATCTCCCCTGACTCTTGAGCTCAGAGGCTCAGCACTAAACATCCGCTGGAAATCAGTCTGGAAAAACAATAAACTCCCTTCGAAGGCGTTACTCCACCAGGGAGTTACCCAGCAATCCAGAAACCAGACTGTCATTAGGCGGACACAGGAACAGCTGTGCAGAAAGGAATTCTCTCCAGAAGCCTGCCCGACCTACACGCAGACAGGAGCCTGCCTAACAAGAGCAGTGCTCGCAGGACTTGTTAGAACAGTTCAAAGGGGCTGGACGGAGCGAAAGCTCCAGTTGTAAAATCAGAGTTGGAGTCTAGGGATCAGGTTCTGCTCTCCGTTCCACCCTGTACATCTGAAGGAACTCATACCCGGGATCCAACAAAGTCACTCTGGGTTTGTGGCAGTGTAACTGGGATGAAACCATCTAGTTCAGCGGTGCTTAACCTTTTGGCTTTCCAGGCCACATGAGTGACACAGAGCTGGTCTGCAGGCCAGATCAGATCCTGTGCTGCCCCTGTGCCTTGGGATCTAGCCCCACAACTCTATGCCACCTTTGCATGCCCGGATTTGGCTCTGGGGCCTCACATCACCTCCACCCAGCTCTGCACGCCAGGATTGGGGCCCCATAGGCCAGATTACATGTAACTGGGAGCCATATTTAATCTGTGGGCCAGGGATTGAGCACTTCTGATCTTGTCTGTTCTTGCCGCAGACTATGATATTGTTGTGATGATTATGCACTTGTATTGCAGTGGCTCTGAAAGGCTGCAGCTGAAATTAAAGTCCCGTTGGGCTAGCCCCATGCAAAACTCATATTTAGGGAGTCACTACCTCAAAGAGTTTGCAGTCTCAATAGACACGAAAGATATAGGAAGAGAGGCAGGGAGGAGAAATTGTATCCCCATTATGCAGAGCAGAAAACGAAGGCACAGAGAAATAAAGGCTGCTTACAGATGCCAACCTCCCCCGACCCAAACCCACTCCCCCAGCAGATCCCATGTAAGCTCAGCATGCCCCCACTCCAAACCCAGTGCATGCCCAGAAGAGGCATCACGTTAGTTTGACCTGGCTCGCCCAATGTCTGCATAGATTGGGCACTTCAATGGGGCTTTTTGATGCGTTTATTTAAGAGCTGACCAAGAAACTCCATTGAAGCTCCTAATCTATACAGACGTTGAAGAGCCAGGTCAAACTAACAAGCTTCCTCTTCCAGTATAGCGCCATGTTTTGTTTTGTTGCACCCAAAGTGATTTATTTCAGGATCATTCAGAAGTCTTTAGAAGAGGTATCATCCCAGCTCCCTCACAACCCAGTTCTTCAGTACAGTAACCTAAGTCAAGAACAAAATTCCTCTAATTTTGTTGCTACTCTAGTATACATTTCTCAAGTGGTGAGACTCCTATTGTTTCCCCTTTAAGATGACTGTATAGTCAGATACCTGTTCCATCCATGCTGAATAGCCATCCTCTGGGTCTATAGAGATCACCCACTGGTACTTGTAGCCAAGCACACACACAATCACAGTATACTGCACAGAGGACATATTTCTAAACAACTGTGAATTCCCTGCTTGCACAAAGTGCCAGGTAGCTGCCTGTGGAGCAAGATGTGGTCTATCTACAGAGCAGGAGGGCAAGCTTCCCTCCTTCCACAACATGACTCAAAAATGGGACCTGCGCTTTCACTCTCTAACCATACACCGCCCCAAACTCACCCAGTCTTGCCAAAAAAGTTTGGGAAGCTCCTAGAGACCCACCCAAATTGCAACCCAGCAAGCTGTGCTCAGTATGGAGTCCAATGAAGATCTAAGCAGAGCTGCTGCTTTACAGCATAACCCCGTGCATAAAAGTGCAACTCCTGCTAAAATCAGGTGCATTGTCACCCCCACCCCCCGATACACCAGGACTGAAGTCAGCCAACACAGCCTTATAAGCAAGACTCAAGGATTCGTGCAGGGGGCAGAGCTGCAGCTTCCCATCACTCAGTCTCCATCTCCACAGTGTGCCCTTCATGGATGAAAATGTTCCTCGTTTGGAATCAGGTCAGAGGAATGAAACCTCCCTGCCCATTTTGACAATTCAACAGCAAATAGCAATTCAGAAGCCAGCCTAGTTCTTTTATGCTCATTTTCCATTTACATCCCAGCTTTATGAACAAGAGCACTCAAAAAAAGGGGGAATGTTCCATTTGCATATTTATCTCAGGAGAGTTTTAAATCATTTATGGCTGTAAAATGTGCAATTTGCACTGCTTCTGCAAGCCAGGCTCTGTTTGCACACCCAAGTGGCAGCAGTTTCACTAAAGCTGCTTTTTTAAGCAGCTTTAGTGAAATTATTTTTAATTTCCTTTAAAAAGGCATGACTGTGTAGAGCTCCAGAGCAATTTGTCTGTTCATTTGTGACACCTTTGGGATGAGCTGTAGACCAAGAGCTGGTTGCTGATGAAATCTGAAAATGATTTGGGATAAATCTGAGAATTTTGTAATCGTCTGTGGGATTTGTAGAAGCTCCCACTAACGATGTGCTTCTGCTCCCATAGGTTCAACTCCCATTGATTTCAATGGTGGCAGAGTTCGACCAATGTTAAGCGCTTTTGAAAATGCCACTCTACATATTGTACTGCATTGCCTGACGGCATAATTGCATTAGCCACATATGAGATGTCAATCACCCTCTCTGTAGTATATACGAGTTATAAACCACTGATTCTCTAGGTAGAAGAGTGCACCGTTCTCTCTCCCACACCACACCTTCTCCCAGTCTTTCTTTCCTCAGATCCCATGAAATGGTTCCAGTTGAAGATATTAACTCTAGTCTACACGGTGGAAGGAAGGAGAAGAATTAAGGAATGCAAAGCATGAAGCAGACTAGTAAACTAGTGAGTCAAGAGCATGCCAGATCTAAGATACCATCTTACAGGCTATGAGCCCAATCTTATTCCACACGTAGTCAGACAGAGCTTGTTTCTCAATGGTCTCCTCAGCTTGCTCTAGAAGCTATGTAGATGTAGCCATTTTCTACTATTACCATCACAACTGAACACATCACAGTGCAATTAACCTTATCGTTCCTCTGTAAGGAAGGAAAAAAATGGCTTTTGCTTAGCAGAAGGCACAGAGAGACAAAGACCTCGATCAAGGTCACACATAGGAAGCTCCTGAACCCAGCTCTCCCATGTTCATTGCTTAGCCACTGAACTATTGTTTCTCTCTGGTGTGAGGCTGCAGCTCCTTTCCAGGTAGAGCCAAGCAGGCTTTCCATGATCCTGGCCTTAGGAGCTTGCTAGAGCAAAAGGGGCTATTAATACCTTCCCTGGTATTGTGCTGGGACAGTAGGACAAAGAGGTTTAACAAAACCCTGCTACCTTTGAACACAAGGTCACTGACACTGTGCCTCCCCTGAACAAACCGAATCAGCGAACAGATCTCTTGTATTGTATTCTTCAACAAAGGGTCCATAGGAACAGAGGACTCATCCAGCTAGATTAGCATATACCAGGCATTTGAGAGGAAAATGCAAAATTATGGACTAAACTGCATGTGACCGTAGGTGTATATTTTTATCACATAAACATGAATGTTCTTATGAGCTGTAAAAATGTTTTATTTATTGAATCCTACCAGGTTCTTCATCTCAGTGAAATCGTATGTAAAATCCACAGGCTATGTACTTGGTATATAGCATACACTTAGTGTATAATAATATTTTATTTGATCGCTTTAAATTACCCTTCTCACTTGCTCAACTTTATTCTCTTCTCAGTTTGCTCTCTCTTTCTTCACTTCTTCCCCTTCTCCTCTGCCTCTGTCTATCCCACCCATGAGGTTACACCAACAACAGAGCACACAAGGGCAACACTTACTTTCCCTGAGGTAACTGAGGTGAGACAACAGGACTTCTGTGTTGTACTGGGAGGTTGTTCGGAGGAAATCCTCCTTGTTCATTTTGCACAGTTCCTTGCCGTCCATGTTCTGGAAGAGGGATGTGTCTATCTCCAGTAATCCATACTCCTTAATAGCCCATTCTAGCCACTGGCGCACGTGTTCCTGGGTCCACAAGGTGGGATCTAGCAGAAAAAACACAGAATAGGTCAACATCAAACACAAAAGGATGCATTTCCACCTGGGAGAAATTTTACACTCTTTGCACTCTCCTATGCACGCGTGCCTGAAAGGGCGCATGTGCCTGAAAGCTTGCAAATAAAGAACTTGTTTGCAAGTATCTAGTTGGTCTAATAAAAGAAACACCGCCCCAAGAGTTGTGATTACTTTTGTCTGCAGACCAACACGGCTACAACCTGTACCCCTTCAGCTTCTTCCAGCATTATCACATTATCAGTCACTCAATCAGCCCATTAATAATATCCATTTTTACACAATAAAACATATTCAGTCTGCAAATTCCCAGAGTACTTTGTAAAGATGTGCAATTATTAGCTTCATTTATACAGGTAGGGAAAATGAGACACAGATGTTGATATAGGGATTTAAAGGCAGAGTCAGGAACAGAATCCAGTTCAGCTGATAGCTTGTCTGATCCCTTAGCCCCTCAGCCACCCTTAGTAATACCTGAGTTATGACTTTTTATTTCTTTAAAAAGGCTTCCAAGAAGTGAAACCTCCCTCCGAAGAGATGTACAAGCCACCCCGTCTGGTCCCTCTACATTGCACTGTCCTATCAGGGTTTCTGAAGCCAGCCAGCCTGTCCCAAGAGCATTGAAAACTCCCAGCAAACAGCTTTTTCAGCTTTGAGAAGTGTGATATTTATGGTCAGTGAAAGATCTCTGAAAAAATTACTGGATCTGTTGGCTAGATATCTCTGAGTCATATTTGCCGACTCTGCTGACAAGAGCAAGTTTTTATCCCTGTTAGCACTGTTAAAATCAATGTGGCTACGGAGGGGACGGGGGGAAGTCCTACATCATTATGAATTGTCTGCCAAGTCCCAGGTGCAGAATCCTGACTGCCGCTGACGGTGTAAGACGTAGGTTGAACCTGGCTGGAGTCTCAAACCCCCCCAATAACTGTTTGCTGCAGCAGTAGTTAAAAAAAAGATACCATCCTCTGAGTTTTAAGATGAATGTGCGGGATCAGAAAGTCCCAGTGAAAATTAAATGTGCCAAACTGTGATATTAGTTTTACAGAGTCATTTTCAGAGCGTATCTACACTTTCAGATGTTTCCTGTTCTATTTTTCTCATGTCTCCTGTCTAAAAATTAAGCCACAAACTAGGTTGCCTTGTAAGATTACTGGTGTTTGGAGATGTGTATGAACCAAGAGTCCACGACTCTACGGTCCACGTGCCTGAATTTGGGGAAGTTTGGAACAGGACTTAGCCTTCAGATCAGGTTTCTCCGTTTAGGATAGATCCTAGTATTCAGATACACCAGGGCTTTTGAGCAGTCAGGCTCTAGATCAAAGCTCTCCCTCCAATGCCATCTTCAGCAGAGGAACTCTACTTTTCATGAGGTTCAAAATCCCTCAAGTATCAACGTTTCCTGCTACTTCAATTTCTGATGCACACAGGAGGAGGATGTTCGAAGGTATAGGATAAAAAAACCATTGCCCAGAATGAGGGACATAGATAAGGGATACTTGGCAGAGTTTAGTAGGTGGGTTGGCTGCCATCCTTCTGCTATCCAAGGATCCCTTTATACAGACGGCGTAATCCAATAAAGACATCTGCAACGTGGCTGCTGTGTATCAATGGTCAGTGTGAAATAGCACAAGAAAATCACAGCAGGGAATGCTAGAAAGTGATAGTGAGATTTTCCTATCTAGTTGTTACTAATACCCACACTGTTTAAAACTGAACTTCAATCCTAGAACTTCTTCTTTGTGTAGTATTAACTTTCAGCACAATTAAAGTGCCCTGAGAAGTTGCACTTTTTTTTTTTTAATATCTGCATTCTGGTTATTTTCACGTTCAGCTTCTCATGCACTGATGCAAATGTGGTGTACTTGGGTACAAAATCAAAAGAGAATGTCAACTGATATCCTTTTAAAAAATGATGGACAGTTATTTTTCCTAAGTTCTGAAAAAAACCCTGTATTTAGGGCCCAGGGTAAACTTGATGTCTTAAATAAAAAATTTCTGAAACTCAGGCAGGTTTATTCAGAGGTTTGGGAGAAGAGGCTAAATAATTCAGTTGCTTCCTGTTTCACCCACTCTGGCCCATCTGTCTCCATTAAAGACATCAAGCTTCAGTATCAAATACTAGCAGAAAACTGTCTTCATGACACATTACTCCAAGTTTACTAGCATTACTGCTTTACACCTTACGTGATATTATTTTTGCCTGTCTCCACTCCAGTGTGCTATAAATCTTTACTCTGTGTTGGGTTAAGATCTTACAAATGTACTTCTTGGATGAATTAAGCTACAGCTCTTCCAATCAGAAATCTGGGCTGATTATGAACTAGGCATATCATTTATATCTGTCTTCCAAAGGCCTGAATAAAATCACAGCCATTTCACAGGTGTCTTATAGTTTTGATTTGTGGATGTTCACAAGTGGAAGATCTCCACTTTCACTTTCTGGCCAAAGGAGGAGACATGAAACTACCTCTTCCTTGAAAAGTTATGGACATTTTCCTCCCATTTTCACCCTCACTAAAGCTCTTATCCACAGTTTTTGGGGGGGTTGGTTTTTTGTGGGGGAAGAGGCTAGGGGAGAGGGAATGGCATAATTCCCAGATAGCTGGCTAACAGCCATTATAATGTACCCTACTTAACTACTTTTCAGTGGCCTTCTCTGTATCAGATCACGCCTATCCACTCTATACCACTGCTGAAAACATGCGGCCTCCTGTTACTCCGATTGGATCATTTTCCCCTCTAAGGGTGAAGCCCCACGCAGAGGACTTAAAAGGAACCTTAAGCCCAGGGCTGAATTTCATCTTCGGCCTTGTTTTGGCTTCTTCTCATTCAGTTCGAGCTTTATGTCCTCAGTCTAAATGGCAAACAAATGCTTGGGAATTGTCATCTGGTCAGAGTCAGTTCACGATCAGAAAACAGAGCTGCATTCCACAAGCACATTTCTTTCTGCCATTAGTTCATCCAGCTCGAGTCAGCTGTATCTTTCCACACACAGGGTAAAATTCGGGCCTCTTGGAAATCAGTGGAATTTCTGTCAGTGATTTTAGTGGAGCCAGGAGTTTGCTTCATTGGAAAGTTCCTATGCAAAGACACTTGCACCCAAGACCTTTATCAATGCTGCAGGGAAAAGACACCCTCTCCTTCCAAACTTACACGATATGTACCACAAAGATTCCCAGCCCTTGATCCTCGAAGTAGATTTAGTGTGTCCTGCTATATATGGATAGTCACTGGATAAGAGATAATGGAAAATCTTCCTAAGGAATTATTGTGGGATGGAAAATTTAATATCTGGAAAATTGAAATGTCCTGATTTTCCATTGAGAAAATCAAAACCAGAGTTTACTTTGAGCCTGCCCAGCATTAAAGTGCCCCTGTGTGCTGCAGAGCCCCATGCAAGTGACAGCTTCAGTGTTTCATATGCCCGTCTTCTCCTCTGAATTGGGCTCTGTGGCCAGGCTCTCTCTTAGGCTGCATTGTGTTTTCTCCTTTGCATGAGCTGCGTGATGTAACCCAGCAGAATTCCAGGAAAATTTCAATATCTCAATGTTTCCTTCCAACTTGGGGTGAAAACGAATATGAAAATCTTGGAATTTCCAACAGTGCAAAAATTCTGATTGTGCACAGCTCTGTGCGCCTACTGCAACTCACCAAAGAACAGATTTTCTACGCACCCATCCCTACTAAATCAAAGATTTACGATGCTTGAAGGAAATTAAAATACAAATAGTTTGATTCCAATGGTACCTGCTGGGACGATGACTCTCCTCTCATTGGTGGTCATGTTAGGGGGAGGGCCGTTCTTTTCATCCATGTAGGTGCTGTAACTCATCGGGTTGGACTCTGTCCCAGTGCCCACCAGCTTGCTGCATTTGTTAACGCTACAATCTACTGGGGACTCCCTGAAAGATAAAGGAAACATGTTTCATCAAGTTTGTCATTGCTGAGCCTGCATCCCTGCTCTAGGAAAATAGGTGCTGTGCTACAGAAATGGCAGTAAAGGATGAGAAGTATGCTGGAGTTTAGAAAAAGGAGAAAGAGCTATATAGTATCTTGTACATGTACATTGCCAGTCACATAAGATCATAGGAAATTAGGGCTGGAAGGGATCTCACAAGGTCATCTAGTCCAGCCCCCTGCTCAAGGTAGGATGATCCCTGACTAAACCATCCCAACCAAGTGTCTGTCCAAGCTGCTCTTGAAAACGTCCAAGGATGGAGATTCCACAATTTACCTAGGTCACCTCTTCCAGTGCTGCTTGACCACCCTCAAAGTCAGGAAGTTCCTCCTGATCTCCAACCTAAATTTCTCCTGCTGCAGCTTGAGGCCCTTGTTCCTAATCCTGTTCCTTAACGCCACATGCAAAAGCCCATGTCTATCCTCTCTGTAACCACCCTTCAGGTTTTTGAAGACTCTTATCAAATCTCTTCTCCAGACTAAATAACCCTTGTCCGTTCAACCTTTCCTTGTAAGTCTTTCTTCACAGGCCCCTAATTATTTTTGTTGCTCTCTGCTGGACCCTTTCTAAACTGTCCACATCCTTCCTGACAGGTGGGGCCCAAAACTGGATTCCCAAGATGGACTGCAATTGGTAAGCCTCATGACAAAGTTTGTTAACTATCCAGCTGTTTGAAATATAGATATAAGAAGGGCTGATTTTAAAGAGTGTGAAGCCCCACAAATTCCCACTAAAATCCAGGGGTTTGGGTTGTAGCCGTGTTGGTCTAAGGACATAGGCAGACAAGGTTCCTTGGGTGAATTTGATATCTTTTATTAGACCAACCCAAATGGTTGGAGAATAGTTATTAAGCAAGCTTTCAGGTTCAAAAACCCTTCGTCAGGCTAAGGAAGCTTCAGCAGTTGGTGTGTGCTCTTCCAGGGCACCTAACAGGGGCTCAGTGCCTCTAAGAAACCCGGGCTCCTATACAGGGAGGCTGGTCCAACACACTGTAATTACAGTGATTACTTGATTAATCGATTCATTGAGTCTGCAGAAGCGTGGTAATTACCACGCTCCAGCAGACTCCAGCGTAATATGTATCAGAGTCCCTCTGCTGAAAAATGGCAGTGGGGCACTTTAAAATAAAGCTGGTTCGATGAGTCCCACCACCATTTTTCAGTGCGGGGACACTGATATACGTGATGCTCTGGGGGGCTTTTAATTAGTGCTGTTCTAGGAGCCTAGATTGGGAGCTCTTAGGCAGAAGACTTTTTTTCACTCTGTATTAGTCTATCAGCTAATGCAAGGCTCTAATCCTTGATGGGAGTCACTACCACAAAATAAATAACATGAAGAAATGCAGTGCTTTCTCCCCGCTTTACCCTGACTAATCAAGTCTGCTGAGAAATGCTAAATGAACTTGCTTAGGTATCTCTGTATGGCACTGCACTGGGTGGTCAACACACTTAAAATGCCCATGCTGCATAGTGACCAATACTTGTGTATGAAAGTAGTGCCTGGTTATTCAGGCCATACTGTGCCAGGTGCTCTATATATGCATCCCTAGCAAGCGTGTTGATCGTTCTCATCTGTGCTTGCTTGCAGAGAGCTTGGCTTTTTAGCTCCAGCTGTAGTGGCTTATGATCACAGCTCAGCAGGTCCCTGATTTCATCCCTAGCATAGCAGCTGTCACATGCACACAGGGCAGAGCTACACGAGATGTTTACTGTGTAGTAGACTAATTAGCTGCACAGTAAATGTAGCACATCTAGACATGAGTCCCTATTATGCTGGAGTAAACTAATTTACTCCGCAGCAGCACATGTGTAGATGCTGCGCCAGCTGGCTGGGGCATGAGGATGCTTCAGTGTGGTGGCTGCCTGCTGGCTACCCTCATGCCCCAGCCATCCTCTATGCAACGCATTGAGCTGGGGGGAGCAGCCCTGGGCTGGCAGGCTGACCCCTTAGGCTTCCTGCCAGCCAGGGCTGCTCCGACCTGGCTCAACATGTTGCACTCCTGGGCACACATAACTGTGCACCTGGGAGCAATAAATTCTAGTGCAATAAGCACCAGAGTTTATTGCACCGCATTAATATGCACGTGTAGACGCGCCCACAGGCAGTTGGAGGAATATCCTGTGCTGAAGAATTTACAATGTAGAAAGAGATGAAAGAGCATCGCTACCCTTGTTTTGCAGGAAGGGAACTGAGGCACAGAGAGAGTCTGCCATGCGTATGGTTGAAGGGGGTATGGAACCTATATTACTGACACCCTCGTTCATTTGCTACCAAACAGTCTTTCCTCCCTGCCAAAAATGCAAGACATAGCTTGGGTGGAAGCCACTCTTTAATGGGGAAAGAACATGACAGTGCATTGAATCCCACCCTGTGAGCAAAGCTGAAGGATTTTCCAATTTGCAACATGAAATAAATTTGTTTCTTAATCTGAAGTGGGGGGAGGGGGCAGGAATTACCAAAATGCAGTTATCATGGCTGAGAGATAAATGCCCCGCTGAGATATTCTAAGGCAGATGGTAATTTTTTCCTCATGTTTTGCTGGGGGAATGTTGCTTGAAAATGGAAATAAGATGTATAACTTACACATGTTTGAATTTAAGGTTTTACTATTTCGCCTACTGTTTTTCCAGGCATGAAACCAAAATCCGCCTTCGGAGAGGCAAACTGCTGAAGGTTTAATGTCCCTGTGGCAGCCAAAGGAGGGTTTGAGCAACTGCAGGAACATCAGGCTTTTCACCGAGAATCTGATCATTTCCAACTCGTTGCAGAAATGCATGGTGTCAGGTGTTAAATGCTGCACATACTGGGAGGAAGAGAGCTCTACCCTGAGGGGTCATATTCTTCTCTGAGACACAGGCTGGCCTGAGGGGACGCAGGGCAATAGTACCACCATCTATGCTTTCATTTCTACCCAGAAATTTCATTTAATCTATGCTTTCATTTCTACCCAGGAGAACTTTTACAATCTTTTCTCCAATGCCTGATGAAGGGTGTTTGTGCCTGAAAGCTTGCAATTTAAGAATTTTTTTTGCAAAAATCTTGTTGATCTAATAAAAGATATCATCTCTACTATGAGTCCTGGTTGCCTTTTCCTCTAGACCAACCTGGCTACAACCTGGATACCTGACACCATCTATGCTTAAGATTTAGGGCCTATTCTGCCTGGTGCTGACTGTCACTGGGAGGTGCCTGGGACCCTTAACTTCCATTGAGTTAAATGGAAGTTGAGGCAAGTCTGCACTATTCAGTAACTGGACCTTTAAACTTAGACTTTAAAGTACATTTACAGCCTTCAGATGGGCCTGATCAACCCTCCTGACCCAGACTGAAACACTTGCGGGGAGGGATTTTTGGTTCCAATCTATACCTGGGGTGAAGCCTGACTGCACTGAATTCAAATGGGAAAGTCCTCACTGACTTCAATGGAGCCAGGATTTCACCCCTGGTGTCTGCCTAATTTCTGACAGTGTCTGGTACAGTGATAGCTGGGAGTCCCATATGCCTCTTGTGTGACCCAGATACTACTCTTTGGGAGTAATTTGGAAAATAGCCATCTTTCTTGAAATTTGGTTTCTTACGTAACAGAGCAATAATATGTATGACAGGCTAATAGAGCAATAATAGGTACACTATTTAATTTAAATAATTAAATTAAATAGTTTAAATTAAATTAAATTTAAATGCTATTTAATTATATATGTCATGTGATATATCATCATCCAGATTCACTCCCATGACTGTATCTTCTAAAATCCAGTCTGCATTAGAAACGTGCCCGGAGCCTCCCTCATGGAGTGAATTGATGCACATGCCTTAGTTGTACAAGCGCCTTCTGAGACCGAGGGCTTCTTTATTTTCTCTCCAAAGGGCCAAACACACATCTACAGTGCAGTGTACAAGTGTACTATAAATAACAATGACACTGTTGTAAGATCATGCCCAAGCAGTTTCATGATGACTTTGCACCGAGCTCGCACAGTCCTCTTCCCTCGGCTAGTTAGTCACAGTCCTCACTTTTCTATTCTTTTCTGTGTTCACCTCAAAGGCAAACAACAAGCAACCCAAGTAATGAAGCCTGGGATTGGCGAAGGAGCTTAATTAAGGGAGGTAGGTGCACAAGTCCCAAGGTAAAACCCCAGGTGGGAAGCATAGTTGGGTGGAAGGACTACAATGATCCAAGCTGGACTTTGGAAGGAGAATATCAGCTACCCTTTTGGTCAGGAAAATAACCACAAGCAGGCCAGACTTTCTTTTCATGGCATGCCACTCCCTACCACCACACTAGGCTTTTACTCAGTAACTGACCCAGCGCTGTCCAACCGAAGCGTATTTGAAGGTCCCAGGTTCCCTTTGGGGATCTCCACCCAAATACTGCCCCAACCAGACCTTGTCTAAATAAGGAGCGTGATGGGATCACAGCAGAAGATGGTGTAAGTGAGGGGCAAGACAAAGAGGAATTCAGTATGGGGTAAAAACCACAGTACAGAAGGGACACAGGAGAGCCATTAGTAGTGAATAGTTTATTCACTGAATGCAGCCCCTTCCTTAGTTCATTAATTACCCATGAGCAGACTTAGATTTGTATAAATTTGCTCATTATTCAAAATGGTTTATGCGAACATATTTCAGATGCTGGATTGTTCTTTGGCTCTTTGCAGAGGCTGCTGCTTCAAGCTTTCAAGTGGCTGCCCAGACTGGGAGGGGCTTTCTGGTCAGATCCTGAGCTGGTATAAACTGTCATAGAGCCACTGAATTAAACAGTCCTGAGGCAATTTGCACAAGGTCGTTTAAGTGCATTCACGATGGGAGGACAAAACCCAAAAAGGCCAAGGCTGTCCAATTTCCAACCTTTCCAACAGCTCTGAATCCAAAACAGCTACTCTAGCAGTTTCTGGGGACTCCAACAGCTCAGTTTTTTTGAAAGGTTTATATTGGACTAGCCCA